CCCTTAGAGAATGAACGCTTGCTTATTTTTCTAGTTTGTTAGAGTGGAAAATTAGGGACAACAATTGGGGGTTTATTGGAATCATTCGAATGAAACCGTATCCTAAATCTAGTATATTCCTATTTAGTTAATTTAGGTTTGTTATCCGGTATATTTCGGTTTTATTCCGGTATTCTCCGAAATGGTATCCTGAATATGGCGGTATGGTTTTTTAACAAAAAAATATTTTTTAATTACAAAAACTGTATTTTGCCGGTACACAACGGTTGAACCACGGTCGTACCACAAAATACCCTACCACTGACGAATCCGGTATGACTTCCGGTACGGTTTCCTTTACCATGCTTTTAATCGGTTGGAGGGGAAGGGAAGGGAAGGGAAGGGAAGGAGGACTTTTTTTATTATTAAGAGGAGGACTTTGTTGGTTTATTTTATTAAATAATTTATATTTTATTAATTTATATTATCTACATGGCATCCATGTCAACACTAGATGTCAATTCATTAACGGTCAACAATTTGACGGAAATTCAAATGTCCGGCCAATTGAGTATATATGATGCATAGTTGAGGTCATGATGTTAATTTGTGAAACCACGGGTCAAAGTTGATTATATGGTCATAGTTCGGGCCAGAATAAGGTATTAACCTTTTGTTCTTCTGAGAAAACCCTGAGTTTTTTTATGATCGCTTAATGATTGTAACTGCTCTCTGTACATTTGATTATATTTGACGATGGTTGTGGCCTCCAGAATCAGAGGATCAAAGCCTTACAACTAGCAATCTAGAGGGAGAGAGTAAACATGCAATTTTTATGGCCAAAGTCTATCTACCTTATTTCATTGCAAACTCTTGCTCTTATATAGAGCTAAGAGGAGATACAAAGACGTCATTGCATACGTTTAGCAAAATAAATATTTTTTATTATAAAAATGATATTTTACCGGTACACAACGGTTGGACCATGATCGTAATATAAAATACCATACTACAAATGAGTCCGTTATGACTTCTGATACTGTTTCCGTTGCCATGTTTTTTATCTATTCAATAAAACTTGCCTAAAAAACCCTCACATTTATATTCTTTGACTTTTGTTAAGTCATATTATAATCTCAATAAGTATCGATAAGGTTAAAGGATCCATCTCAAATAATTAGTTATTTTCCCGTTTTCGTGTTGGAGTTGAATGTATAGTTAGTAAATATCTCGTGTAATATCCGTATATATACCCGTATGCAATTTATTGGTTTTAAACTTCCGAAATTATTGTCAAGGCGTTTCATTTTCCCCCATATTATTGTCACAGGTTTTAACATATCAATTAAATTTCTATTAATAACTTGAAACCATTGTAAGGACCATACCCAATATATGGTGCCTTCTACGGTACCCCGGGTGAAATCCAGGGTACCGCATACCTTGAGTATGAAAACGCTATCTAGACCTCGAATTAGCAGGATTTTTGGGCATGATACTATACCTTAACCCTTAATGAATGAATCCTAGGTCCAAATTATCTAAATCATAAACTATAAACCCTAAGATGGTGCATTAATATTTTTTGCCTATATTTGGACGAATCATAACCGTCGATTATTGTTTCTAATTAAATTATTCTTGGGGTATAAGATTTAGAGAATTAAGACCTAGATTTTGATCTTTAAGGGTTAGAGTATAGTATCATGTCCGAAATATCAATCAATTCAAGTTCTGGATAGCGTTTCTTACTAAAGGTATGTATCATGCCCAAAAATCTTGTTAATTCGAGGTCTAGATAGCATTTTCATACTCAAGGTATGCGGTACCCCGGATTTCACCGAGGATACCGTAGAACTCGCCATATATGGTGGCTTCTATGGTACCCCAGGTGAAATCCGGGGTACCGCATACCTCGAGTATGGAAACTCTATCTAGACCTTGAATTACCAGGATTTTTGTGTCTGATATTATACCCTAACCCTTAATGAGTGAACCGTATGTCATAATTATCTAAATCATAATCTATAAACCCTAAGATGGTGCATTCCTTTTTGTGCCTATATTTGGATGAATCATAACCGTCGATTATTGTTTCTAATTAAATTGATCTTGGAGTATAAGATTGGGAGAGTTAACACCTAGATTTTGATCTTTAAGTGTTAGAGTATAGTATAATGTCCGAAAGATCGGTCAATTCAAGGTCTAGATAGTGTTTTCATACTCAAGGTATGCGGTATCCCGGATGTCACCCAGGGTACCGTAGAACTCGCCATATATATATATATATATATATATATATATTCTCATGATCATCATAAACTCATTTTAAAAGGTCTCTCTTAATAACACAACTCTCAATAATTATTTCTTAAAATACAATCTAAATCATAGTTCATCAAAATTCATTAATAGGACTATCTTCAATATTTTAATTAAAAACTCAATTAACCATAACTTAAAAATTACTCTTGAAACATAACTTAACTTCAATCCAAAATAAAATAACTCATGATCATGACTTTGATCTCATACTCTAATTTAAATAATTTTCTCTTAATCACCATTATTCTTATTAAAATAATATGATCTCTTTAATAACAAAACCATGTAGAAACAAGTTTCATCCATCCAAAAATAAAATCAAGTTCACAAATTCTTTCTTGTGATTATTCTGACCGGAATTCACTCCTCATATACTCATCCAATTTATAAATTCACAATTTCACCCTTTAAAAGTCATAACATCAATTAATTAAAAAACCCAATTATTACCAATATAATCATTCTCATGATAATATCTCATGAACAATGCCATCTCAAGATCCCTTAAATTTCCTTTCCTCATTTTGATCTCAATAGACATTTTCAGAAAACTCAGTTAAATTCATCCATAATTTCATCTAATATCATAATAAAAAAATAAACCACAAATTCATCATAATCATTCATCATCAATTCAATCATGTGTATTCAAACATAAACACGAAATTCCGGTTCGATTTTACCGTAAGCCCACACACCTTATTTACGAGGAAGCTGATTCTGTGATGACTCTGTAAATTAAATATATCACTTTTATAATATTATCCCCATCCTCACGATCCTGTAGGCGAAGAAGGTTCATCGTTTGGACGTCAAACAAACGAATTGTGAGCAAAATACGAATTTTGTTAGTACTGAAAGTACCAGGTACTAAATAATAAATTTACCAGTCAACTGAAAGGTGTTGACCCATTTCCGCGGACAATTATAGAGGGTTCCTTTAACCTTTCAATTTATCAGGAAAGATCCTGGGCTTGACAATTTTTGTGTCAAACTTCCGATGGTCGTTTCTCCCTCGTTAGACGACGAAAATCCGTTTCGTCCACACGGTGATGCTCCTGAGAACACCCTCTTTGCAACCATACCCAACTTTTGAAGTATGTTCGAAGTTCATTTTTCTGTTTTTTTCCGGCGACCCTCCGACAATCTCCGGCGAAGCTCCGACGTGGCTTCAAACGACCTCCAATGAAAATTCTGACTTCGTAGATGGCTTCAGGACCTCCACATTACTCTAACCCAAGATACATAAGCTTGGTTCCCTCTTTTTCTTTCTATTTCCTTTCTTTCCTCTACTCGTTTCATGTTGGTCAATGGTGGAGGATGAAGAAGAACAAAAGCTTTAGCTTTGTTTAAAGGCTCTTCTCACTCTCCCCTCAATAACTCACACCTAGTAGATTAGATATGCCAGCCTTCTATATTGAAGTTTGTTTGAAATGATTGGGTGTTGTCCTCTCCGTCTGTGCAAAATAAATTTTACTTGGCTTGAGATTTAGGTCTTAAGATTAATACGCAGAAGACTCCTCATGAGCATGAATAGTATGCATGCAGCCTAGTGGTGTAACACTTGTCTTATTGGCTAGAGATAAGTGGTTCGACCCTAGGCTATATGAAACGAATTAGAAATCAGATTAGGGATTTTGATCAGGTCAGAAGCAGCAGAAGGGAAAGGGTTAATGATGAGAAAGAACACTTCCTCTGCTACTCGACTAAGACCTAGAGCAATAATAATAATTGGGCTGGAGAATGACAAAGCCCAATCAAATTATATGTAAAGAAAAATTATAAACAAATTGGGATTTCTCTACTTAAGCCCAACCGGAATCAAAACGCAAGAGAGAAAGAGCTTCAGCTTCTCTTCTTCTTCCTTTGACGAATGAATTGCAGAGCAGAAACCTAGGAAAACAGAGACAAACAACCAAGCAGAAAACAGAGAACTAAAACAGAATTGAAACGAGAAGAACACACGATTTAACGAGGTTCCCAAACTACTGGTCACTCCTCGTCTTAGAAATAGCACCTGCTATTTTCCGAGAGACTCTTTTTTTATTATGATTTTACCTATCAAGCAAAAGATAAAACGAAACAGAGTATGAAAAAAGAAAAACCAAACAACCACCACCACAGATCACAATCCGATCTGTAAAACCCTCAACAACTAAGAACCTCTTCCCCTGAACTGTTGATAACCTTTGTAACCCAAAAGATCAGCCCTCTACCGCTCTCTTTTTCTCTGTTACAAAACCTTACCAAGCTTCTCTAAATACACAGAATATATATAAGACCAATACAACCGTTGGAGAGGACCAAGCTAGCCGGTGCTGATTTTCCGTCAGGATTGCTTCTTATGAGGAAACCTTCCATTGCCATCTGATTCTTGAAAACTTACCAAAAGAGATCAATCGGCAAGACTTATTTCGTTCATCAATCTTCCCCTAAATGAGAGATTGATGATTGATCCTTTTCCTACAAAAGACAACACACGCAAACTCCAAACAAGGCAAGAGATTCACACCAGAACTACTGCAAGACAAAACAAAGTTCCAGCAAATACTACTGCAAATACCAAACTAAAAAACATCAACAAGGTTTGAGCACACTCAGTTCAAGGCAGTAAGTTCCAACCCTAACAACTCAGGGCAAACAAAACAAAAGAAACCAACAAGTCTGAGACACACTCGCAAGGAAAACAAGATACGTCAAGAACGATCTTCATCATAAGAGCCAAACTCTTCTTCATCGGTCTCATAAAGTACCACAAGATCTGCAGGAAACGAATCTTCAGAAGCCGAGTCAACATCTTCCTCTAGTTCCACATTCTCCTCTGGTTCCACATCTTCAGGTTCTACCTCTGCCTCATCGACTTCAAAGACAGCAGCAGGAAAGACCTCTCCCCCAATCGCAATCTCCAGGTCATCCAACATTTCGATAGACACATATTGAGTAGGAGAGATGGTTCGAAAAGAGGAAAGACCCATTTCAAGGCAAGAGAACAAACGGGTGATGAGGGGTCCAAATGGTAGTGGGCCAGAGAAGTGGACATCACCAAAAGACATCATGGAGCCAAAAACCAAGTGAGCATAGTTGAGAGGGATATGGGCTACAACATGGCTCATAACCCAGAGGTCTAAGGGAGTAACTTGGTCAAGGGATGAAAACGAGGAAGGAAGACCCTGGTGAGGACAAATTGAAAAGCTCGAAGATGGGGCAGCAGAACATTGACAAGGAGAGACAGGGCAGGACCAGGATGAACACCCGAGAGACGAATAAACTCCTCGGCAACATTGAAATTGACTCTCCACAACTCAGACTCGTGAGTAATGGTCTCACCAACAACAGGAATATCTAGCAAACGACCCAGGTCGACAACAGGAATGGTAATGAGATGACCTTGGAACAAACTAGAAAAAGCTCGGGAATGAAGACCATCAGATCGAAGGTTTGAGTAAAAATGACGCACAAGGATGGGGCAAAACATGGATGAAAACTGATCAAGTAAAAATCCCCATCCCAGATTTTGAATTAAATCATTGACATCAAGAGCAAAATCATGAAAATCGTCAAACGGGGCTAGGATAGAAGGGGCAATAGGGCGACGCTCAAACGATGGCGATGGTAGTTGGCAAGGGCAGGTTCGAAAAACAGACTACCGGAAAACGTGATAGACAAGCTAGGCTCCATAGCTAGAACACAAGATCAAGGCACGCAGAAGGATTAATCGAAGAGAACAAAATGAAAGGAAAAGGACTTAAATAGGGACACAGAGCACAAAAAGAGGAACACCAACAGACAATGTAAGAAAATAAACCACAATAACTCTAGAAATAAATTAAAATAAAATAAAATTAACATAACTAAAGCAGGAAGTACAGCAAGTAAAACGAGACAAATCAGGGGCAGTCGTCAATGGCCTGTAAAGACCTCAAACCAAGCTCATAGCATAGAACGGTAAATCTGTCCAATGGTAAAGGCTTAGTAAGAAGATCAGCCAACTGAAATTCAGTAGGTATATGCTGCAGGGCAAGAGTGTTAGATGAAACAAGATCACGAATGAAATGGTATTTAATCTCAATATGCTTTGTGCGAGAATGCTGCACAGGATTTTTTGTCATGCATATAGTACTAGTATTGTCACAAAATAGTGGAATGCAAGACACATCTAAGCCATAATCAGCAAGCTGACTTTTTAACCATATTAATTGAGTGCTACAGCTCCTGGTAGCAATATATTCTGCCTCTGTTGTAGAGAGGGCGACGGCCCCCTGTTTTTTTGCAAAACCAAGAGACAAGGCAAGTGCCAACCAGTTGACACGTACCTGTTGTGCTTTTCCGGCCAGTTAGACTGCCGGCAAAGTCAGAATCGCTATAACCGACCAAGTCGAATGTTTCTTGTTTAGGATACCAGAGACCTACATCTATAATGCCCTTTAAGTAACGAAAAATCCGTTTAACCACAGACAAATGACTTTCTTTAGGGTTGGATTGGAACCGGGCACAAATACAGACACTGTACTGAATATCAGGTCTGCTAGCAGTTAAATACAATAACGATCCAATCATCCCTCGATACTTCTTTTCATCTACGGCAATTCCATTCTCGTCTCGATCTAACTTTAAATTTGCAGCCATAGGAGTGGGACTGGAATTTAAAGAGGTCATGTTGAATTTGGAAAGCATGGTATGAATATACTTGGATTGGTTTATAAAGATGCAAAAACGATATCATCAACATATATTTGAACAAGCAGAATGTCGTTTTGAGTATGTTGAATAAATAACGTTTTGTCAACAGTACCCTGATTGAAGTTATGATCTTTAAGAAAAGTTGTAAGACACTCAAACCATGCTCGAGGAGCTTGTTTAAGACCATAGAGAGCTTTATTTAACTTATAGACATGATCACGATATCTATAGTCAATAAATCCCAGTGGTTGAGCAACATACACATCTTCTGAAATCACACCATTTAAAAAGGCACTCTTGACATCCATTTGAAATAGAGGAAAGTTAAAGAAACATGCAAAAGCACACAGCAAGCGAATGGATTCAAGTCTAGCAGATGGCAACAAAACCCGAACCCACAGGTACCCACCCGACCCTACCCGGTCAACGCAGGTAAAACCCGTGTTGACGGATTTTGGGCCGGGTTCGGGTTTAAACCCGCTACACTATTCACCGGGTCTGGTTGGGTTTGGGTTTAGGTAAACCCGCCCCATGGGTACCCGCCCACACACATATAATTACTTTCCTGCTATATTTAATATTCTATTTGTTCTTTCTAATTGTTTAGAATGAAGTTGATATTATGAAGTGGAGAGTGAAGAAACTTAGTTGACGAGGAAGAAGATTTCAATTAATCTTATTGTTTATATATGTTTATCTTTAATTTTGAACAATTTGTATTGATCATTTGCGGTTTGCTTGTATGCTCTAGATTGGTGTTTTTTGTACGATTAATTTGTATGAGAAAATTGATGTTAAACTTTTATTTTGAAAGAAACTTGTTATTGTAAATTTTTACCACAAAACCCCGCGGATACCCAACGGGTTGGGTTGGGTTTGAGTTTTTCAAACCCAACGGGTTTTACCCCGAGTATTTTTGGCTGATAAACCCATGGGTTTGGTTTTGAAAAAACCCGCCCCAACCCGACCCATTGCCATCCCTACTCTTGACAGTATCCTTGGGTGACTAGACGAGATTTGTTCTTAATGATGTCCCCATCTTCATTTGACTTGTTTTTATAAATCCACTTTGTTCCTATTATAGTCACATTGGGTGGGCAGGGAACCAAATCCCAGACCCTTAGATGCTCAAATTGAGCAAGTTCTTCTAACATAGATAGCCTCCATTCCTCATCAGTCAATGCCTCTTTATAATTTTTAGGTTCAAACTGAGCTATATAGGCAAATTGACCAGGAATATACTTACCTCGAGTACGAAGACCATCTGACAAATTTCCTATGATCTGACTTTCAGGATGACATTTTTGTATATGTGCTGGAGCTCTGGGAATGACTGGCGTGTCATGGGAATGCGATTCCGGCGAAACAGCAGGTCTAGATGAGTTGATAATAGGTGGATTTGGTGCAGATAGCATGTCTGAGGTACCCTCTTGAGTAGAAGTTAAAGGGGACAACATTTCTGCAAAATCAAAAGGAGCAGCAGCATCTTCTCCGAGCTCAAGAGAAGGGTTAGTATCATCAAAGAGACCATGAACCGATTCCTCAACTCTTTTGGACTTCTTATTGAATATACGATAAGCTTGTCCTTTCACAGAGTATCCTAGAAAGATGGCTTCATCTGACTTAGCGTCGAATTTTCCGAGATTCTCTTTAGTGTTTAGCACAAAACACCGACAACCAAAAGGGTGAAAATAAGAAATACTGGGCTGTTTATTTTTAAATAACTCATAGGGAGTTTTTTCAAATGTTTTCGAACTAAAACACGATTCCCCACGTAGCACGCAGTGCTGACAGCCTCAGCCCAGAAATATTTTGGTAACCCATATTCAAGTAACATGGCGTGAGCACATTCAATTAGAGTACGATTCTTGCGTTCCACCACTCCATTCTGTTGAGGAGTGCGTGGGGAAGAGAATGTATGGAGGATCCCAGTTTGGTTACAGAAGCTCTCAAATTCGTCTGAGATAAACTCCCCTCTATTATCACTCTTGATAATTTCAATTTTCCCTTCAAACAGCATAGTAAAAGTTTTAAATTTTGAAAACGTTTCATCTTTGTGGAAAAGGAAATAAACCCAGGTATATCGGGAATAATCATCCACAAGGACAAAGGCATAATTCTAGCCTCCTGAACTCGTTACACTGCAAGGACCGAAAAGATCCATATGAATCAGTTCAAGGACTGATTTTGATGTAACTCCTTGTTTAGGTTTAAAAATTTTCTTTGTGTGTTTACCAGCAACACATGAGCTACAAAAGAAATTAGACCTCTCTTTCAAAATAGGCATTCCACGAACCAAAGTAGATTTGGACAGCTTGGATAACTTCTGTAAGCTTATATGCCCCAGCTTGCGATGCCAGAACATCTCAAGTTGATGATTAGCAATCAAGCAAGTTTCACTGGCCAAATTAATGATATTTATCACATACATATTATTAAACCGATTTCCCACAAAAACAGTGGAATTATCATGAGATCAGTGAGAAGCCTCAAAGACCACCTTATTACCATTGCTGCAAAGTTGACTAATGGACAGTAAATTGTGCTTCAAACCCTCAACAAGGAGAACATTGTAAATAATTGGTTGAGGTTTTGAGCCTATAGTTCCACTGCCTAATATTTTTCCAAAACTGTTGTCACCAAAGGTTACCCTACCACAATTTTTAGGTGATAGAGTAGAAAATAAGTGACTTTTACCAGTCATATGGTGGGAACAGCCACTTTCCATATACCATTGATGATCAGAATCAGCGGAAGAATCTAATGAAACAGTTTTAAAGGCTAATTCAGAACTAGAATCTGAACTATTACCTTCAACATTGAGAGCAAAGGCCATGTAGGCCTCTTCTGTTACCTGTTCATTATCGGAGTTTGACTCGTAGTCACTCCAGGAAGCAACCATAGCTCGCTCCTTTGCCTTTAAGGTTAGAGGACAGTTGGCACGTATGTGTCCCGGTTTCTCACATTTGTAGCACCCTTGCAGTTCCTTCTCGTGAGTATCTGCACTTAAGTCTTTCCTGAGCTTGAGACTGAAAGGCTAAGGTTTGCCTACGTTTATCGTCACGACCAACCTGCCTAATGACATGTTCATGACTAAGTAACGACCCGATTAATTCATCCATAGGCAAGGTGTTGAGGTTACGAGCTTCCTCTATGGCTGTCCGTTTGGGCAACCATTCCTTTGGAAGCGATCTAAGGATTTTTCTAATCAGATCTTTAGTAACAAAGGACTTCCCTGAAC